GCGCAGAGCACCAAATCGCTAGCAATTTGTCCGGCTGCCGCATGATAGGCGGCAAAGCTTTGAGAAACATAAAGCAAATAGTAACTCCAGTGATCGTGCCAATTCCAGGGTATGTAACTTTCGTAGGGTAGCGACTTTTCTATACTGCGCATGTGCAGCCAACAGTCATACAATTCACGATGCAGCCACGGATAGAGATTGTAGGTGCAGATGAGCATCATAAATATAAGCGAAAAAATACTCATTACAATGGAGCTTTGACGCAAATGCCGAGACACATCCATTGACTGCTGTTGGCTTGCCTTGCGTGGAAAAATGGCGTCCATTTGGATTAAGAAGCGCGTTAACTCTTGTTTCTTTCGCCACATGTAGTACAATTTGATAAAACCGACAAGTACGAAGCCAGCGTAGGAGAGTGTCATAGTTGCTTGTACGATATTCTTGCCGAAAATCATCAATGCCAAAATTACTTCAGTGATTAGCCAAATATTAACATTTATTATGCACAAATAGAATAAAGCTTGTTGCAGCAGACCGCCATGTGTGCCCCATAAATCGATGCCGACACTGCGGTAAAAGAAGTTCGGTAGGCGTAGAAAGCTTTCGAAGCGTATGGTGTCTGGCATTTTTCCAAACGGCTATGAGTATAATTTTCAAAAGAAAGTACATTTATCTCAAAGTTTTTTTTTTACTGTGGTTTTAGTGAAAGTTTCAAAAAAAAAATAGTTTTATGCAACGAAATATATACATACAGAAATTCTGAGGTCTCGCCAGATTAGCTTATGTTAGGTAAGGTTAGGTTATCAAGCTGTATCCTGGAGGTCCACTTAGACACGACTAAGCTGTCCGTTGTGATAGCCTTAAGAGAGGAGAGGGAAAACGACGCAGGGTTAGGCAAAGAGGGGAAGGTAAGGGAGAATGACGACACCGATGCATCTTGTTAGAGAAACGCTCCGTGATCCATTTCACCTCATCATTATCCATGCAGCGAGACACGTAATTTGCTTAGCCTGAAGAGGTTCCCAAACCGCCTCCGGCCTACACGTGGCCAGACGTGGCCCACCATGCTTTCCAAAGTCTTCGCCCAGCGCTCGCTGAGCTGTCTAAATGCACATCTCTCCAGAAGCAGACCACACGAGGTCAGGCCCAGACCTTCTCTATTCGAAAGTAAATAATTCCTCAACGGTTCCCTGTCTTGAAAGCTCATCGGCCATGCAGTTTCGAGTCGTTTTGCTGTGGACCCAAATAAGTCGAATAGCGAAGTAATCCGATGCGGTCGATAATGAATTTAGACACTCTTTGTTACAGTTACACTAGAGGCTTTTTAGAATACTGAATTGCCCATTCAACGAGGCGAACTAAAAGGCCATCCCACTTATGCCTGCCAGCTATATCTATAGGCACACCATTTAACATGGCGTTGAGCGCCAGGTTAGGGGTGGTTCGAAGTGCCCCACTGATTCTAATTAAGGCGTCTCTTTGAACCCCTTCCCGTATAATGCGGCTCTTTGAACCCCCTTCCTTACAATGAAGGCTTTGTCCAATGCATTCCACCCGATATAATAAAATTTGGCTTAATTATAGTTTCATAAAGCCAGTGAACTACTTTCGCGAAAGACTCGGGCGCTTACCAATGCCCCTCTACAACAGTACAAGGCTTACTATCAAGGACCAAGCCCAAGTAATTCACTTTGTCAGAGAGCCTTAGAGGAAGACGGTGCACGCCCATTGCAAGAGTGAGGCCAAAGGAGCCATTTCTGCGGCGACTAGAGTGCAGCCACCTTTTCCAGTATGGATTACCTGAATTCATCAAAACTATGAATTCATTGTAGGTTTGCACGAGGTTGTGGTTTCAAAATCGTACAAATTTGCTGATTGGTTTTCTTCTGGGTGAACATATGCTCTGCCCAATCAAACACATTTCAAATCTATGGGACACTGTAGCAAGCGGCACACACTCTATCACTGCTTACACAGACACGCTTAGATCGTCACAGTAAATACATCAGCTTTCAAAAGGCTAGTAAATTTGAGACTTGCAAAGAAATGTCTCGATCGAAGTATATTTGGTCAGTTTTTAAATGAAAAGATGTCCAAACCTATTATCTACATTCAACGTCCTTTTACTAGTGGAGTTTTGGAACTGCTGAAACGGAATTTATGCAACTTTTAGGTTAGAGATACGCATACGAATTATTCGTTTCTGAACTCGGAGGCAGAACCTTCTAACCGAAGTTATTCCATATTTTCAGTATGGTGCCTGTTCAACCATTTACTATCCTGTCTCGGGTGGAGCTGTGGATTACCCATACTTTTACTTCCCTTTTCTACCGCAATCCATTTATTGAAAAAGCGTACCCCAAATGCTTGGTACGCCATGTATGGAAAGCCGGACATTGACACAGCAAGTGGTGAACCGCTTCCTCTTCTTCCTCATTACCGGCAACTTCTGCACAGCAAGCTTGTTGGTATACGACATCGATGTAGCATTAGTGCTTTAGCTTATATTGAGTCTCGGCTATAAAGATCCTGAGATATCATAGTCATCGCGATTCTTCCATAGATAATTAATTACGGTTGTGATGTGTTCTTTAATCCTCCTCAGCAGATCAGAAATTATTGGGTGTTGGGATTTATCCGCTCCACTAATCTGCGTTTCCGAGCCATGTCTAGCCATTTCAACAGCTATTTCGTTCCCCTCGATATTGAATATCGAGGAACCCAGCGGAGAAAGGTTTCTAATACCGCCTGGCTGTCAACGATCCCTGGCAGAGACTTACTATCCCGTATGAGACAAGCTATCTTCTGCATGGCGACGATCTCCGCTGAAAAGACACTGCAATTTTCGGACAGGCGATATGATTTTCTCATCTGCGGGTACTTGGACTATTGATCCGAGCATACTTATTTTCTCATCTTGGATACCATGATTTACCGACAGTAGGCCGCCTTCCAATCTTCAATTCCTTAGACGTAATTTTGTCGGTCTAGAACAATCCTTGGCGGTGGCGGTATTAAAATTCAGACTTTACTCTTTTTGGATCACTCTAATATGCATACTTTATAAAAATTTTTTTATAATATTTCGTTGCATTAAACCAATCAATTTGAGACTTTGAATAAATCACTATTGAATTACCTGCACAAACAAAATATTTAAATATTTTCCCAAACAGCCCGATATGAATTGCAGCAATAAAACAACTTAATTGAATTAGCTAACGCCTCGAGGTATGCAACACAACTTAATACAAAATGGCTTTATCAGCTTTTATAACTATTATTTGAATGGCATATCTATGTACATATCTTTGTTCGTATGTCAACCCTTTATCACGCACATATACATAGAACATACTTGACTACCTGGGTTAGCTGAAATTTGATCATTCGAAATTCATTCGAAAATTATAGCTTTTATTATATAAAGCTCATTACTTATTACAATGTTTATTGTGACTGGTACATGCCACGTTGGCATGTCGCATGCCACATTTACTTTAATAAATGCTTGCAACAATATTTGATGTAAACATTCATTAGGTCAGGCTAATAATATATAATTATACGGTCATCACACACAAAGGCGAGCTACCGACATGATTATGATGAAATTAATATTTACATGCAAATATGCAAACGTCTGTGTATTTGTGTGTATTGAACCGCATCCATATGTGCGCATAGGTGAAACTGTCATACTGTATACGTGCATATGTGCATACATGTTTATGTTTGTACGTGCCGGATATGATAGTTTAATGAATGTCTTTGTTCTATCTAAGCAAATATATATGTATGTATAGAGAAAAAACGTTTTAAACATTTGGATCATAATGTTATCCTTATGGGGAAATCAAAATATGTGCGTCTATAACTTTTTAAATAGCCTAGCTGGCGAAATGGGGATTTTACATACTCATCGAATAGTACGATAGTATACATATATAGCTCAATTCTTTCTTAAGTCGACTTAGGCGGTTATTGCTTATGTATGACCACAGATATATAATACGCGAAGGGACTTTTGGTCCCGGTCATCACATCTGCACCGTTCGTTCAATTTTCAAAAATGAGGTGTCAGATTAAAGGGCTTTAGGTGTGGATGTTGAATAAGGTTTTGCCTTTTCGAAAAGAGTTGCCACCTATTAAAAAATTAAGCTCAAATTATTCAAAAAGGGAAATCAATTTTTACAATATGGGTATCAACCGTAGTGGTTTTGAGAATGCTTTATATCTTAGCTACGTGATGGAGAGTTGCCAAACGTTTAAAAATGTAAGTCAATTTTAATTAAAGGTATGTGGTAAGCGAATAAGGTACCACTATATTGGTGTCAGACAAAAATGGTTTAAGAAGGTAGTAGTTGGAAATATTTTGAAGAGGGTTGCCACCTATTGGGGTATCAATCGAAATGAAAATAATTTATTACTGAACTGTATTTTGAAGAGTTGCCATGTCACTTAATTCATCAGTTAATTGAAATATGTATAACAATGCCAGATGACAGGAGGATTCTAGTTTGAAAATACTTTTAAGGGGGTTACCACCTGTTTGCAAAGTCGAATTTATCTTACTTATACGCAAGCTACATGAATGAAATATCGAAATATTAGTGTCAAATGGAAGAGTTTTAAGAAAACTTTTTAATTAGGGTTGCCATCTATTTTTTGAAGGTCATCACATCCGCACCGTTATTTCGAATTTCCAAAATGAGAAGTCAAATTAAAGAACTGGGATCTTACATAGATTTGCAAAGGTTTTATTTTTTGATGATAGAACATTTTTAGCTGTACAGAGAGATTGGAAATTCTACTAATTGGCCACTTCAATTAAAAAAAGCTTACATATCATAGCTAGTCTTTATACTAGGTATATTTTTTTATTTATTTTTATAGGTTGCAATTCTTTTAAAAATCTGTCTGTATAAAAGCATACACCAACACTTTTTGTTTCAAATCAATATCTTATTGTTATACATATTTCTCTTTGGTGAAAAGACGAAGGATATTCCATTTTCCAAATTAACTGTTTATTTTGAAAGTGGCATAAGTCATTTCATGCCGCACGCGTATTTAATTCGTTCAACTTCATCAACCAAAGGTAAATAGTTTTGTCATTGGTTTATGACGATAGAGGGATTTACATCTGCATTCAGTAATAAGTAGCCAATCAACTACTAATGCCACTTTCAAAATATACGACCCGAAGTTTCATTTGGATTGCATTTTATTTTTATTTTTATAACGGGTGACACCCTCTTCACAACTCTTTTCGTAATAAAGCTTTCTTAAATATTTTTCGCTTGAAATTAACAGACGGCAAACCTTTTCAAAGTATTTTCGAAGTAAGGCTTTTTTCTACCTGTTTTTTTTGATTTCCATATTAGAATATTTCATTAATATTGCTTATATTACCTTAAAAAGTAATCTCGGGATAAAGCTTTCATAAGCATCTTTTGTTTGACTTCACGCCATTTTGCAGTGCTTCATCTAACTTACTATTTAGATATTATTTGACTTTTAACAGGTGGCAACCCCTTTTAAAAATATCTTCGAAACAAAATCTTGCTATGCGTTTTTTGTTTGACTTGACATCATTTTGCGGTGTTTAATTTGGGTGATTTGA